TTTCGCTCTAGCGGCCATTTTCGAGCTTCCATGATACAGCGCATCCTCCTCCTTTTTCTCCTCCTCTTCCTCCTCTTCCTCCTCTTCCTCCTCCTCCTCCTTATCCTTCTGCTCTTTCTTCTATCATTTACCTGTGCTAATCGTAACTAAACAAACTCCGTCCGCATACTACTAACGCTTCACTCGGTATGCGGAGGAAAACCATCCGATCCAACTATCGAATAGCATTCCCCCATCTTGGACACTCGGCGATTTTCCTCGCGGGTCGTCTGTACGATGTTTAGGTGTACTTCCACGCTTGACCGAATTTCATGGAAACGGGCAAGTTTCAACGTTATTACGCTAATATCGTGCTTATTATTGCGTACGTTGACCCACGACGACGCAACACGCCCGTCGGATGGTAGAAAAACTGCGATAACGGGATTGGACTTGGACCCTGTGAACTAGCGTTACAACTTTGCGTTCACAGCTTTTACGCTCAAAAATTCCATCTCCCCCAACCACGATCCTCGTCTTGAGCAATTCCTTCCAAATCATGGACATTTCGACGCTTTCTTCCTCTCGCCCTCCTCTTCCTCTTTCCAACTCGACCACGTTCAACCATGTATATAGTAATTTTCAACTAATCTCGTTGATGTATTAACGATACGTTCCATGTCGAACAACGCGTCTGAATTTTATTCCTCGTCGTAATCGGCGTCATCGACGAAGGTCGATAGGAAGAGGAACGATAGCGAATAGTATGGCAATGGGTTAGCAGGTAAAATATCAGGATATTTAGCCGATTCCAATCTCTCGATTCCTCTCTTCTTTATTCTTACTTTCATGCGCGTTTAACACGCGTTTAACGCGCGTTTAACGCGCGTATATAATATTCGATAACGTTACGATAATGGAAAACCATGCACGGACCTCGATACCCACAAGGCAATTATGGATAAAATTGCAGAGAAAATGGTAAGGAAATACGGCGTATATCACGTCGCGCGACGCTCTACGTCACCGACATGGCGAATTCGTGATAATATTCGAGAAACTTGCAAGGGAAAACTTGACGCGTTCTCTCGGTGCTCGAAAAAATTCACCGGTGGAAAATCTCGATGCTCGATTCGCAAAGGCAACGACGACTCCTGCTAACGCGTTCATCGCGTTATCGCCGTCTGTAATAGAATTATCACTCCGATATCCAACGTATATACATCCCCCACGATCAGCCCACGGTTTCCAGTGACTCGCGGACCACCGCGGCCCGTTGTTAACCCAATCTCTTCCACGCTCACTCTCTCCAAACGCATACTTTTTCTTCGCTTTTCCCTCCATCGTCGGTCCATCGTCGGTCGTTATCCTCGTGCCCTGTCGCGCGCTATCACAATTAATCGAGTAGCAGGTATCCGGGCCATGAACGAAATTAAATCGCTTACCGTATTCGTTGTGTCCACGTTCCTCCGTTTCCTCGCAAATTCGTCTTTGCTTTTCCCACTCTTCGTCTCTTCCTCTTTTTCCTTCGTTTCATTCATCATTTGTCCGTCGGAAGTAACAACTTCTTCGAATCGTCAATTTCCTTCCCGTTATATACCGATCTCTTCTTCCATCTCTGTTTTACGTATCGCCCACCGACTATCTTTATACCCTATAGCTAAAAGTGACAATAACCTAGCCTCTGTCGATCGTCACGTTTATTATTCGCGATCTACACCAAGTAGCGAAACAAAGTGACTGAAATTATCGTTTGATCGCAACTCGATTCCTTGTTCCATTTACCAATTAGGACCGTGTTCGCGTTCACCACTGTTCTAAGATCAGAAGCAAGGCTGGAGTGCATTATGTACATAGAGGAGAACGTAAGCGAGCAGAGTGGAGCTAACAAAGAGGGTACTCGAGCAAGAGCAAGCGAAACAGACGTCCCTACGCCTTCGTGTCTGTGTGTGTGTGTGTGCGTGTGTGCGTGCGTGCGTGCGTGCGTGTGTGTGTGCGCGCGCGCGCGCGCGCGCGCATCTCACTCTCGGGGGAGAAAAAGAGAGTCACGAATGACCAAATGGAATCGAGTCGAATCGAAAGCAATCGGATCGGGTTGATTCCATGGGGTTAGATCGGAATCAATTCCTGAACTCGATCACATCGTCGTGGAAGAAGGTGGATCCACGCTATTCGCGTACGCGTATACGGCGTAATTTCGTTTTTATTCCAACGCGTGTTTCACCGCTATCCTACGTCTATGTACATAAGCGTATATAATATGCTCTACCTTTACGCGTAGCATCAGTTTGTACATTCGTTACCCCCTCGTTACGAATTATTAACATCACCCTCGTATAAACAACCGATGCGTACATGTATACGTATATCGCTCGGAATATCTTTCCACTTGATATTTATTCCACCCGATGTCTATACGTATCTTTACAAACAAGTTGTACGTCTCACTGATTCCTAATCTTTCGACAATTAGAATTTCCACGAAAATTATACTCCGAGATCGAAATCGAGATGGAAATCGAAATCGATATTCTCCTTTTTCTCTTCAATTCCGCTTTAAACCAGCCACGCAATGCCGTTCGCTACATAAATTTCTAACGCGCAAACACGTTTTCCTTCTACAAACACGATGATACACACTCCTGTCGCTGCTCACTCTTTCCAAGATTCGCAAAACAGCCCCGGTATCGACAACCATTGTCGGCAACGATTATCCGCCGATAAGCCGTTTACACCCTATGAATCTTACACCAATGACTCAAACGTAATAAAAACAAATTAGCCGTAGTCCTGAAAATACCTCTCCAACGAGTGTTTGATCGGAACATGACCAACACCGACAACACACCGCGCGATCGCATCGTGAAAACTTCCATGTCGATTGTTTATCCAAATGATTCATGCTCATCCACGCTCTAACCATCCTTTACAACCTGTGCGCGTTTGTACGTTTCTACAGTTATAGTTAGTTAATTCCACGAATTTTCATCGAACGTGTTTATTTCGCCTGTTACACGCGTAAACGCCTAGAGACCGAGATCCCTTATTCTTTTCTCAAACGTGCTTCGTCGTGCTGCCATCTATAACTCCGCCTAACCGATTAAGTCTGTTGCTTTGCTGCGTCGCAAGGATACCGAGCTACCGGAAATAACGCGTATCCCAACTCGAGGACAACCACGTTCATTCATTCCTCTTTAACGAGATCAACCGATCGATTGCACGTGCATATCGAAATACTGATTCAGTTCATCTCCTCTTTACCGTACACCATCGTGCCTATACCGAATCTCTAATCAGGCAGACTAGATTCCTTGTTAACCTCTTCTTTCTCTCGTTAACGAAAAACATTCCACGTTTCGTTCGTAGTTGATAATTAAGCGTCTAAATTCCTCGTTATTTATCCATCTAAAAGATATTAAACAAAATGAAAAAAAAGTTTTACCAGTTTTTCCAGTAATCGAATCTCTTTAAAAATCAAATGAATTCGCTCCGAATTTCCAAGATGCCTATTCTCTTTGTTACACCCAGCACGCGTACTTATACGGTCCTAACTCCTCTTGCCAACGTCTCTCAACAACTTTTCTGCTGATCGTTTATCGTATTCGTCGAGAAACAATCAACACCTCCGTGCGAGCTCTAACTTGCACACACGTTTAACTTAACTTTGCCAACGCTTCGCCACGCGAGTATAACCACGCTAAGCTTCTTTAAATTTCGCTCCAAATTCTTTTTCCATCTTATACAAATTCCTATATCCATATGCGTATACGCTGTCGCTTATTCTCATTATCCAACTGTTGAGCTATCCAACCATATTACCACTATATCACGCTACCCTTTTCCCTCTTTCCTTTTCTTCTCTATCCTTATTCTCCTTATTCTCCTTATTTTCATTCTTCTTCTTCCACTTCTATTTCTACCTCTACTTCTATTCCTACTTCTACTTTTTCTTTCTTTTATTTTTATTTAATGCAAGAACCAGTCGTGTTATTAGCTTAAAATAAAGATGGCCGATTAGAGAGCCAGTCAAAGGTCAATATCGTTAAACGATACGCGCGCGCGCGCGCGTGCTACTTTATTTTTCCAAACGTATTTGCATCGGTATACGTAAGCACGACAAAGCAAGAACAAAGTGTATCGTAATCAATTGATAATAGCCGTCGGTATTTAAGTCGATATTTCTACGGAGCTCGTGCTTAAACGCGATGCTTATATACCGTTCTCTTTCTTCTTGCTTACATTTCCTCTCTACTTACCCTTCGTCAATCACCGTACGAATATTATATTTCGACTAACAAAAATTAAACAACCACGCGATAAGTTTACAGAAGAAACAACCGTGAAAATATATCTTCTTTAAAAAATAATACGGGTTTCGACTAATATAAACAACACCGAATAGAATTTATTCGTGTGGGATAAACTTTATTTTACTGTTTGTGATTCTGTTCGATTCCAATCGGATTCTTCGTTCCATGTACTCCTTCTTACTCTCAACTATCATTATTTTCTATCATCCTTCGAATTAATGGTGTCGCAATCACTCGCAATAGAATACTTATGTTATTTCCGCACACACGTTAAAGTGTAATAACGCTCTTACGTCTACATTATCGAAACACGCGAGTTTCTATACTCTGTTTCGATTATTCGAAAAACAGCCATATCAACGATCAATAAAACAATTCGAATGCATCGCATTCTTTATCTCGCAGAAAATTTACACCTTTCCACTGCCGCTACGATTTTATTATTTAAATTGTTAATCGACTAACTATGCGTAAAGAGAACAATAAAAACTGCATGCCTTAAAGTAAAGAAACATACACAATTGGGAAACCCTGTTGATATGCTGTTTCTTTAATAAAAAATAAACAAAACGATCTTATAAACACGATGATGAGCAGATGAGGTAATCACAACAAATAGAAGGGAATCAGTTTGGCCGTCGCTGATATTAGTTACAACTTTCTCTTCAATAGTAGTATCCACCACAAAAATTGTGATACTTCGTTATTTTCTTTTCCTCCGGCATTTAGCTAAATTATGTACGCGACTCGTACTTGTCTACGTCTTACCCTTAACCAATTATCAATCCGCAACCCAATTTAAATTGCGGTTTACTATGATTTAGCATACCACTTAACGCAAATGTAAATGGCAGCGGCTGTAATTTCTTTTCCAGAACAGCACCCACTGTCCAATTTGTATCTACGCATCCTATAATAAAAATAAAAATATTACACGACTATGTTAAGGCGCTTGCAACATTAAACGATAAATGATCAACGAGTAAATGAACCGGTAAATCGAAAGATAGACAAACGCATGAATGAGAAAAAATAAATAAATCTAATGTAAAAGCAGAATGAACGATACAATCAACGATGGATTCAAGTGTAGAATCAAGTATAGAATCAAGTATAGAATCAAGTATAGAATCAACTATAGAATAAACTATAGAATGAACAATAAAATAATCGATCGAATAAACGATAGACTGAGCTATAGAATGAACGATAAAATGAACAATCTGGATGCCACTATTACTATTACTATTACTATTACTATTACTATTACTATTACTATTACTACTACTACTACTACCACCACTACCACTACCACCACC